GGAATAAGGGTAAGTAAGTGGGACCCGACGGACCGATGCAAGTCTCGGGCCTAGTCTCGCGCTCTCGCGAGATTAGGCCACTCCGTGAACAAGATGGACTGATAGCCATCGAAAATTTGGAGGTCAGTATCCTTATCCTTCCAAAGTTGTCACTGATGAAAGAATTCACTAGGAACTGTATCTATACGTGACAAACTGAATCTCTTCAACGATAAGAATACCCCAATATTTAAAATAACACTATAAATATAGTCACTATATTTAAAGCTACATAGATCTCGTCAATGTCATAGCAAATCATAGAAATTTCGACAATGGGTAAAATGCCTCAACTGTCTTTTTAAAAATGCACGGCTGTCAATATAGGGGGCCGGAGATACATATATGCAAATATACAACATAAAATGACACATATTCGCATGGACAAAACATTTTTGAAAATATTTTTTCGTGATGCCAAGGCAGCATATTCAAATATGCAATTGTGCATCTAGATAAATCTGTTTTAGTTTTGTTTGGAATCTAGATATTTCTGACAAAATATATAAAAAAAGATATCTGATAGAATAACAAGAGTGTGTAAGGCTAAATGAAAGGTATACCAGAGTAACGGTTAGAACATAGAACACAAAGGTGCTGTGCCTTGTACACCTGATGAGTTCACATTCCATAACAACAACACGGATGTCTCTGGAAAACAGTTTTGCGGACTGGAATTCTACTTCTCGCCGCTATATGTAGTGGCGCTTTTGCTGTTAAAAAACACAATCCTAAACGTGACTGAGCTTATACCTCCCCTAGTCCCGGTTTATGACTGGAATCGTCTACATTATCTAGCATGCTTCTTTAATTCTCCTATCCTGTTTACATATACTACATAGGACATGTAGAGATTAAAAAAAAAAAGCGGCGAGAAGCAGAACTCCAGCCAGAAGCTCCAAGAAAGATGTCTGATGCACCTAAACGTAAGCATGGCAAGGAAAGGAAAATTTCTTTAATAAAATTATTTGATTGTGACAGTAAGTATAATTTTTACAGATCAACATGAGTCGGCGAATACTCCTGTTTGTTCACAAATCCTACTATCCTGGCAGGTCCTCCGCTGCCGCCTCTAATCTTCATCGGCAAGGCGAACACCACAGACCCCACTGCCGGGAGCTGGTCCAAATTAGCCACGTTCTCAAACACTGGGATATTGTTTCCAAACAGGGCCTGATGCGCCTCATACACCTGGGGTTTCAAAAACATTGACGCGAGACTTTGGTAACTAAATGGATATTCAATTAATTAACGTATATTCTCAAACTAAGGCCACATTGATTTTTAACTACGAAGGATGGCACACAAGCAGTAGTATGTGCGTCTTCAGAGGATGTCATACATACAATTGATTCAACGTGGCCTAAAGACAAGAAAATATCTAGTTGATGAAAACTGAACGACACTGCACAACAGTTTGTATCTTGATCTTTTATACATTTGTCTATTAGAATTATTACCATTATCATTGTTCTGTACTTACCGTAGACTGTCCGTAGTCGATAGAGGCCGTGTCGATCCCAACAGCGTGCATCCCACGGTTCTGTACCAGCCACCGAGCGCCATCTGGGTGTAGTCCGGGGAAGTGCAGCAATGACGTGTTCCTTGTGTCTGTGCCAAGGTACAGGAGCTCGTCGGGCCAAAACTTACCCCATCCGGTCTTAACTGTAAGAGAACATTAGAAAATTTTAGAGTCGGTAAAGTAAAACAGGAAGTATTTTTAGTTACTTAACATTTCGGGAATGTAAAAAAACCCAAAACTAGCAAGGCCGAATTCACATATTTTAGTCCATTTTTCTCCCCATTTGAAACTGGACTGTTCCACATCAACGATTGTATCCATTATTCATCATCATCATCATCAGGTCGGGGGTGGTGTATCCATTATCACGTGACTTAAACCCATAAGTTCTTAACAATTGTTCGTCAAAACCCACATGTAGTTCTCTTCAGTTACAAATGTCCTAAAATGCTGTTCAGTATTGTATAAAAGTGTTCTTTGGGTCATTTGGTTTTAAGATTATAGTTTAGGAGTCAGAAGTGTACATTTCGTCTAAAAAAAATTTTTTAAAGGCCCAGTTCCATTTTACACAATTTAGTAATGTGAGTATCGTTCTTCGGACATGTGTCAAAGGCCCCACCATACCAAACTGCAGCTCATTTAGTATTATTATTTGAGCACTGCAGCCAAAAATTACATTTTGTCCGAAAATACATCAAAGTTTAATTTTTAATTTAATTTAAGTTCAAATTGGCCTATAATAAAAGTGTGAATTGTGTTCTGTAAACATATGTCACATACGACACGCTCCTGCTAAATTTCAGGTGTTTTGGCTTTTTTAATCAGGGCACGGAAGCCAAAGTGTACAAAAGGACGAAGATAAAAAAAAAAGTGTTTACACAATTTCAAGCTGTTTCTGTCAATAGAGTAGATGACATCATCTGTGGGCATGTGCCCATGGTATTTCCATACTAATTTTAGGTCATCCGTATTAAATAGCAGGGCTCCAGATCTCAAAATTTTCCAAAAGGTTTTTTTCCAACTCTACCTCCATGCCATAAATCAGGTAATTTAGCCTAAAATTTGGCAGGATTAGAACAGGAAGAAACCATATATTTCGTCCATACTTATGTGAATTAAAATAGCACTGTATTATATCCTCACATTTGTATGGACTAAATTTAACAAGTGATTATGAAGCATGGATGAACTGCAATTGCCAACAAAAAAAATGGACTCACCAAAATCTAATAATCCGTGATTCTAGACTAGGTATATCTATTAATACTAATAATCGACTTACCGAAGAGTAGGCATCCATCTGGGATTTTGCCGTGTTTCTCCTCCCACAGCTGAAAGTCTTCTGCAGTAACCAGATAGTCCGCATCAGCAGCCGCCTTTGGAGACACGTCAACTACAGCCGCTGGTCCCATCAGCCGCTCCACGGGAATATCATCAGCTGGAAGTCACAAGATTTAATGCATAGAAAGTTTAAATGTATCAAATAAAAATACGCTAGCAAAGCAAAAAAAAATCTTTCTAGAAATACAATACTTTTTTTTTCTGACAGGTCAGGCCCGACTTTACTTGTATTTGTATGTTTAAAGTCTTACTTTTCCATTTGTTTTTACTGAAGTGCACAGGCGCGTCCATGTGTGTTCCTCCGTGCTCTGTCGTCTGTATTACAGAGCCTTCATAATAGTACTCGCCGGTGTAGTTCCTGAACACATCGGCGAGTCTGAAGGGCTTCCTCCCTGGCCTGTACAACGTGGTATCATCCAACGTGTAGGTCATGTCAATCACCTGTTGACCCTGACCTGGTCGTGGCGTTCTAACCGGATTTTTTGTGTTCTCAATAATGCCAACAATCCGGACAGGTCCGCCGCTGCCATCACCAATCTTAATCGGCAGTGCGTACACTGTGGCCCCGGTAGTGGGCAGCTTGTCCATATTCGCCACGTTCTCAAACGCCAGAACATTGTGAGCAAGTAGAATTTGATGTGTCTCATACTTCTGTAGACAAAGAATACAATGAAGCATAAGATCATTTAATTCTGCTGTTATAAACATAACTTGGGGTGACCATAGTAGTAAAATGTTTGTTATGTATGCATGAATATGTCGTTTATATCTCAATTGTAGATTGTCCTGATCTTTGCTACGAAGATAATCTGAAGATAAATCAAATAGTTCATATGATAGAAGTTTTAGGGAAATGTTCATTTACATTTGACCTGCTAATGAGTGAATTGCACAGACATGCGATAAGGTTGAAGAGGAGACGAGCATTTATAAATCATAAACATTTAAATAAAGATCGCGAATTCATAATCCATTATAATGCCATATTAGTAAATGGTGATAATTTTGATATTGCTAAGGACGATGGAATCAGGTTTGTGCTCTTACTTTAGACTGCCCGTAGTCGATGGAGGCCGTGTCGATTCCAACAGCATGCATCCCGCGGTTCTGTACCAGCCACCGAGCACCATCTGGGTGTAATCCGGGGAAGTGCAGTAATGACGTGTTCCTTGTGTCCGTACCAAGGTACAGGAGTTTGTTGGGCCAAAACTTACCCCATCCGGTTTTTACTACAAGAGATTATTTGATGTAGACACAGTCAAATAAAATAGTATCTTAAAGGCATCCAGTGCAGTTTTTTGGGCTTCGAAACTCGAATTTTCAAAGTCAATATTTTAGTCGTTTATCTACACCACACTATACCAATGTCTATTGACCCTCTTGGAGCAAAAATTCCCAACATTTGATGGAAAATGGTTACTAAAAGGGCCCTTGGCTAATTTTTGGGGTGCCTCGCAGAAAATAAAAGACTCATCTAGGGGCATGTTCCTGCAGTTGTAAGGTATAAAATACTGACTCAAATGTGCGAATGTGAAGCAGTATGTGTCAATATCACAATGATCGCCTTATTCAAAATATTCCAAATTTTTGCTGCCATGAAATCGCATTGGTTGCCTTTTACTGTTAACTGTATCAAAGAACTTACCAAAGAAGATACAAATAAATAAATGAAACAAATGAATGAAACGGTTTTTATTGATTTTAATAAAAACAGCTCAGTACGTTCATGAAATCTTAATTAAACATTGAAAATTGAACATTTCACTTCGATATTTCAGAAACATTCGAAATTAACTGGTAAGTAATTTCCTTAATAAGTATGAATTTCGAGCAGCTAAATGTTTGCAGAATTTTCCAAATGGTATATTCGGATTATTCCTCCATAAATCTAAAAATGGGTGCACATTGGGCTATACTGCCATCTTCTGCATGTTACTGCTGGACATCAGTAGTTCTTGTGGTAAGCGTGACGCCCATACACACCATTTTGCGTTTTTTAAGGGTTTGTTCATTGTGTAGACCAGCCGTTTACAAATTGTTTAAATTATTGTGTGTAAATAGGTAGTAGGTAGGTAAAGTGGTTGTAAGCTAGAACAGCTAATATTTGCTCAGGAGTAAAATATATTTCATTTCATATACACTCATTCAAAATGGCCGGTTACATAATATTCTTAATTATACAGATATAAATATAAATTCCCATTAAGTGCTCCTCAATGTCAAGTGTTTCCATATCGATTGATAAAAATTATTAACTTACCAAAGAGAAGGCATCCATCTGGGATTTTGCCGTGTTTCTCCTCCCACAGCTGAAAGTCTTCTGCAGTAACCAGATAGTCCGCATCAGCAGCTGTCTTTGGAGACACGTCAGCTACAGCCGCGGGTCCCATCAGCCGCTTCACGGGAATATCATGACCTGGATGAAAACATCGTTTAAATTGTGTATTATGTAAAATGGAGGTATCGTTTTGGCGTGTCTGTGTGTCTGTCTGTGCGTCTGTGTGTGTGTGTGTCTTCCTGTCTGTCTGTGTGTGTGTGTGTGTGTGTGTTTGTGTTTCCGCACATTTGTAGTCAGCATAACTTCAGAACGTCTTCATGGATTGTGATTATATTTGGTATGCTGGGTAAGTCTTAGGAAGGCAAAGGTCAAGGTCAAATATGGGCCTCCTGGTGGATGCCCTTGGTACTGCAGCAGAACTTCCGGTTTTTGTATCGTTTGTCCCGAACAAGTTATAGTCTTGACTTTTTAGTGACAAATGGCTTTTCCTGGCAGGAATAAGTGGTGTGAGTTTGGTCCCCCTAGCAGCTTGTTCTGGAACTGCAGGGCACTTTCTGGCGAAATCTTTAAAAGCCAATAAGTCCAGATAGGAACAACGTATTTTCATAATTTTTGGTGTGTTGATAGAGAGTTGTATATAATTAAATGCAAATTATGGAAATGAGAACTCAATTTTCATAATTAAGAAGAAAATTCTATAATGACAGTGTTTTATATACTAGTACTTTTTATACATGTAATCCTTTTAATCTGTAGCAGGCGAAACATCATCAGATACTGAATATGCAGTTTGATACATTGTCTGCTAGGATGGTCAAGATGGTGCGCGTTTTTTTATTTATACATTTGTTGTTTTATTACGTTATGTAATTTTTTAGCAATATCCCTATTTCGATGAAATGTTGGTACAGGCCATGTATTTCGTCGATGTTATGGATGTGCGTTTTTTTTTTTTTCATGCAGATGTAACGATCACGGTAGTCACGGGATTGCGGACCGCTAAAAATTTCCGATGTGTTCGCAGCTAAAAACACGTACCTCCAATTTTGCGATGTCCACTGTACATCTTGATCACGGAGTGACCTAGTCTCACGAGATCACGAGACTAGGTCGAGACTTGTGTGGATATTCTGCCCCCTCCCCTGGAAGACCTAAGGCTTGTTCTCGCGAGACTAGGTTACTCCGCGATCAAGATGTTCAGTTGGCATCGAAAATTTGGAGGTAAATTTCAAAAGCAATTACTGATTAAAAAAATACAAATATTCTAATAACTGTAACCTTACGTCACTGATGAACCTCTTCAGCCATATTGTTTAACTTGTGGGGTCGTGTGGCGTAGCGGCAGCGTTCTCGACTCGGAACCAGAGGCCCCGGGTTCGAGTCCTGACATGCCACCGATCTTGGGAAAGACACTTAACACGACTTTCCTAACTTCGTTCAGGTGTAAATGAGTATTGTACTGCCCCTCTGTTGGTGGCGGTATTAATATAAGTTGCAAAAATTTGAGTGTGCCGTCACCACGTCTTGTGATTACATGTTTCGGAATGAAAAAATTAAAAAAACTTATGTTACAACAAAGAAATGATTTTTTTTGTTTTAAGCACTTACTTCTCCACTTGTTTTTACTGAAGTGCGCAGGTGCGTCCAGGTGTGTCCCACCATGCTCTGCCCCCTCTATGTCAGACTCCTCGCGCCAGGTACCGTCAACTGTGTAGTTCCTCAACACGCCGGTCATCTTAAAATGCCTTAATGTCGGCCAGTAGATGGTGTTTTCGTCAAATGTGTGGGTCATGTCAATCACAAGGGGGTTGCCAGGCAACACCGAATGGACGGGTGCCATGAAAGACAGGATGACCTGTAATTATTTCATGTATATTGTATATTGTAAATGAAAATTGATAAAGAAAAATGTGCTTTATTTATTCTACTAGTAGGGACATTTTTTCATTTGTTTTTTCTGGCTACAGGTCTTCAAATCGAACTACCTTGTACTATTGGGAAAAAGATTTTGATGAAATTATACCAGCAAAAAATCTCGATTAGGAGATGTTGGGGATCTTATCTTTGTTTATAAATAAATTAAACAATGTTTTAAAAAAAAAACTGTATTATTCTATTTTATTTTATTTATTTTTTCTTAAGATTACGACTTGAGATTATTTTATTTTTGCTTAAGATTACGACTCTCGCATATCAGTTAGAAGGTATATGGAGATTCAGTTTTGGGGTGTTTGTATAAAGCTCCTAGAGCTACAACTGGCTGTATTACAGTATACACCAAATGAATGTTCTTCTTCTACATTGCAATATTATATTAACTAGAAAGGCCAATATTTGCTTTGGAGCAAATACAGCGATGGGTTCACCACATTTTACGACATGGCAGGGAAAGAATGAGAAACACAAGGGAAAACAATGATTTACATTCATTTGATATAACTATAATATGAAGTAAAATACAACTAAAACAACAGTTGGATAGCTATTCCCTACTTTATTGGTTAGGATTTTTAATTGCATAATGCAAACTGTTGATTTTCAAAATAAAAAAAAACGTCCGTGCCCCGCATTCCAATGCTGGAGCAGGAAAGCTTGAAATACCTACCAAAACACTTGAATACAGACATACTGTCAGTATGGAAATGATCTGTGCAGGTGTTAATCAAGTTAAATCCCAACAGCCAATCAGCAAGAAATGCTCTGTGCAGGTGGAAATGCTCTGAGCAGGTGTTAATCAAGTTAAATCCCAACAGCCAATCAGCAAGAAGAATAGAGGAATGCTGCATGCCTATTGGTTGATGCCCTGCATTCCATTGTGATGACTCATGCCCAAACGTGGTAAACAAGGCACACTAAGACAGTAATACATTTGCTATAACACAGCCAAAAAACTCAAATAAAACCATTCTAAAAGCCTGTATCACAATAATTTAAAAAACGCCTAGGGGTATTTGCCCACTGTACCTCCATACCAAATTTCAGGACCTTAGGCCCTAAAATGAAGAAGCTGAATCCATTTAAAAAATGGCAGGAGAAGGAGGAGAAGAAGAAGAAACATCAGAAAAAGCAATATGGTTTCACCACACCACTTCGTGGTGTGGTGAACCCATAAATAGTAAACACTGTTAAAATCATCACGTGATGATGCCCCTATATATACTGTACTGTAGTTAGTGGCAGCGAGTTTTATACTACGACAGTTGTAGGAACAAATACATTTTTGCACACCTCAACTAATCAGTTTCTAATTGTTGTAAAATATGAAGTCACTGTGCCTGTAACTTATTTATATAATGTTCAGCCTCTTGAGTCTTGCTGTGATATGTAGTCAATTGACAACATGCCACAACTTACAAAGACTGTTGCCACATGAAGAATGCCCATTGTGCTGTTGTCCGACCGCAAGGTATAGAAAACTGTCACTCATGAATGGCCACCTATCACGAAGGAAACAATAGTGAAATGACCAACATGAAATATGACCTAAATCTATATCTATCTTTATATATCTATACCTATATCTCTATCCATCCATCTATCTATCTATCTACCTAGATCTATACACACACACATCTATATATACACACACAGACACACACACGCACACACATATATTGCAAAGCTCTCCAACTCCAACAAACAGGTACAAAGTGTACCACAATCCAATCTCGATAAATTCAATTTCATTTGAAACTCATACGAATCATACATCAAATTGTTCACTAGGATGTATGTTTCAATTCGTTAAATCCAAGATCGCTATATTTACAATTTGTACGAAGATTTTACGAAACAAACTGCCTGGAGTATGTGAGTGCACGTGACGCCCCCCTCCCACCCGACGTGTACCGCTACAGTATCGACGTTCTCGTGCACGCCGCGGCGCTAATTCTATTCAAAACTACACAAACCACACATCAAATTGTTTGTTATGATAGGAGGAGGAACAAGAAAGAGGAGAAGAAACACGAGGAAAAACAATATTTCACTTAATACTATATAGCATGGAGTGAAATAACAAAGACTGAGTTATCCGAAAATCATAATTAGAACGCCTAAGTTCACAAACACAAACAATAAGTTGTTGAGTTACAGGGGGCTGCATAATCAACAGAAACCAAATCTAAGAACAGCAACGCTTTACCCTTTGTCCCATGACCTCTTCCAGCGCCATGTGTAAATTGTAAATTGTGGTGGACTGACTTCCGGGTTTTTGCGCGGCGCTGTACTATTTGTCAAGACGGGGAATAACCGAATCCCAAATTTAGCCAGGACTGGCTTAAGGCAATGGTGTAACTGCCCACAACAATACGTATTTTACCATAAGCTTTACGTAAAAAAGTCCTGCTGTACATACATGGGCGATTTGTTAGTAAGGAATTTATGTTTAATATGTTCACCTCCGCAGAAGGATAACATATATTTTATGCTCTTTTTGTTCTTCCGTTGCAAACACACAAGGTGAATGTCTTTGAGCAGACGTCTGTCATCATGATAATTTGTTTTGATACTAACTCTGAAATAGTTAAGGCGGTTGCAAAGTCTAAGGTTACAATAGGTATGTCAAAAGTCAAATACACGGCTTTCTTTTCCTGACCTGTAGGTCACGTATACAATACTGGTGTATGGGTGAACCTAACGGTTTTGGGTACTGTGGTTGATTTTGGATTAGAATAAAAAAACAATACTGGTGTATAGGTGAACCTAACAGTTTTGGGTACTGTGGTTGATTTTGGATTAGAATAAAAAACAATACTGGTGTATACTTTAGGTGAACCTAACAGTTTTGGGTACTGTGGTTGATTTTGGATTAGAATAAAAAACAATACTGGTGTATAGGTGAACCTAACGGTTTTTGGTACTGTGGTTGATTTTGGATTAGAATAAAAAACAATAATGGTGTATAGTTAAACCTAACAGTTTTGGGTACTGTGGTTGATTTTGGATTAGAATAAAAAAACAATAATGGCGTACAGGTGAACCTAACGGTTTTGGGTACTGTGGTTGATTTTGGATTAGAATAAAAAAAAAAAACAATACTGGTGTATAGTTGAACCTAACGGTTTTGGGGACTGTGGTTGATTTTGGATTAGAATAAAAAAACAATACTGGTGTATAGGTGAAACTAACGGTATTAGGGTTGATTTTGGATTAGGATAAACAAACGGTACCGTGTCTTTAGAACAGCATTTTTGTTTCTCGTGCATATATGTAACGGGTTATTCTGCATGCTAGGTTCACGTAATCGAAGGTCAGGCTGTATATCTTCAGGCACATAAGGCCATGTTGATTTTATTATATGGATGACATCCTCTGGAAACCCCAAAACTGATGCGAGCGTGCGAATAAAAAAAAAGTTTTGCAAAAAAAAAGCTGCTTTCATCATGACATCTACGTGGTCATGAAGGTTGTACAAAGGACACAGAGTGTGGTATGACGAATAATCTAATCTTCAAATTCATTTCTTCACATTTTCGTCTTTTTCATTTGATTTTGAGAGTCTACGACATTGGTATCGTTTTCAAATATTTTTTTTTTGCAACTTACGGTATATTTTTGCTCATTTTGCAAGTGTTTTGTACGATTAACACTATGGTTGAAAACTTTTTTTTTTTTTGGAAACGGCCGAAAATTCATGCGCGCGCGGATGTCATCCATATAATCAAATCAACATGGCCTAACCTGCAACAAAGCGACATGATGATAACGCTAGACCTAAATATGAAACGGGGGGACGTCCACCTATCATACAACAACCAGTGTCGAAATTCCTAAATTGCCCAAGCTCCTAAACATGGCATTCTTTAATAGGGTCTGTTCTGAATGGCAACAGTTTTGGTTGCAGATGTACGAATGGACTGTATAACATGTTTAACATGTCCATAGTATTCGATCTGAGAACAAGAGCATACTCTGGATGCCAAACTAGTTTTGGGCAGGGCTGGACCAACCCCTCGGGCTCAACTTCCCCATAGCGGTATTTAGATAGGCGGGCGAAGGGTCCTGGCTGCCGAAGGAAAATGGCTAACGGCCCGATACTAGTTTGGCATCCAGGGTAACAAGGGCATAACTAGAATGACCTACCTTTATCAGCTTGTAGGTTACACGGTCGTACTACATGTATGGACATGTATGTCTTTTTATGCAGGAGTCACGTACAGGTCCGTACGCCGCTGTCTTGTGACTCACCTCTAAACCAATAACCTTTGAACCTACAAGGTCAACTTTCACGCGGACGCTTGCGGCACTCCAGGCCTGACGACTTTGAACCAAAAGACGCGATCACCTCTGTGAGCATTTTACCTGAACATTATTACATTTAGAGTCCAACTGCGATTGGCTACCCCTCTACCGACAGGAGTTACTAAAGACACGGAGCAGCTGTTACACACTATAAAAACATGTCTTATTGAACTTTTTTACTAAATGCGTGGAAAACAGCGTTTAGCTCATATTTTTAAACAAAGAAACATTGTTTCCGAGCGCGCGGTTACGGAAGCATGGTATCTTCCCATATATGCAAATTTCTTCATAGATATGTGCAAGATTTATGCATATGGCTTGGACAGAACTACAGTAGCTACAGCTCGGCCCTGTCTGCACTCTCCCTATCCACACTTTCCCAACGACGGCATGAACTGTGCAGGAAGTATGCTGAGTCGCTGCTGAAATCCCCGATCTACAGAAACTGGCTGCCACCATGCCGCGAGGCCGTATCAGGCAGGACGACCAGGTCTAGCAAACAGCTACAGACTCTCAGACCTAGAACTGTGATTTACTAAGAGCTCGATCTACTTCATGACAAAGTTATTGAACGATGTGTAAGTTTAAATATTCCGGATGTTATAACGGCTGTTTGTATAGTAATATTGAAATCGTATTCCATATGTATATACAATATTTTGGCTGCCACAGACTCTGTTTGTTTATGTGTTTTATGTGAATAAACCAGTCGTCATCATCATCATCATCATCATATGAAAAATTTCCATACGTGCGTTCATAACTTACATTAAACCCACACAACCTGTAAACCCCTGTATACCCTATGTATCTTCAGCCATCCATCCTACATATCTTGCCCACCGAGTTGTGAACATTTTGTGTAGATGTCGGTGTTACCAGTGTTACAGGGTTTGTTATGATGGATACTGGTGAGTACGTTATTCGTAATAAAACTACTGAACGGTATCTAACTAAACTACCGGAGGTATAAAATCTTAAATTTTCCTTCTTTTTCTTTTAATCTTTTATTTCTAACACTTTAAACGTAGATTAACAGGGAAATACACAACATTTAACAACTCGGGGTAGAGGTACAAAGTTCTATACCACACATTCCTGTCCAGGGTGTTTAATGTGTTACAGTATGTACGCAGTACCTGTGCATATAAAGAGAGTTGTTGACTGTCCGTATATATATGGAGAGAGAGAGAGAGAGGTCCTTTTAACATTAAAGTAGTAACAATCATGGTATAATTACATGGTTCTCTAAAAGATTGTACTCTTGGCTATCCTCACGCCGGGTTGATGTACATGGCAGAAATCTCAGAAATTCGCTCGACGTAAGCCAGTTTAGGTGCAGAACGTCCCGTTTCTTGAACACTACTCTGCCGTACTGTGTTAAACTATTGAACGATGAAAATTGATTCACTGCATCAGTTTCACATATACAACCCTGCATATCATAACTTTGGCTTATTTCTGTAATTTTAACTTGAAAGAAACATTCAATCAACTGTTTTTATATTGCATTATTGTATTTTTAACGTGTGGTAAATTTTAATGTAAACTAGATATGTAACGAATAGGTTTTTATTAATTGTAAAGAATCTTTATCAAATATCTTATCTATAAGCGCATTTTGTGTTGTATTTTAAAGCCTTCCCAATTTAGTCAAATATGGCTGCTTACAGGCTTTTATGTGTACTTCTTGTAAGGCACAAATAAATCAGTCTCTCTCTCTCTCTCTCTCTCTCTCTCTCTCTCTCTCTCTCTACATGTACATGTATAGCTCCAGGACATCGGTGTCTGTGGGGTGAAAATACCTTGCTACCTCTAACTGCTGGGACAGGGATAATTACATGCTTTGGCGAAGGTATGAGATTGTGGAATTCTTGTTGTGTATTATAAAACCAGAAAAATAGTCCTTAGCTTGAATATAACGAACAATATCATATCTTTTCCATGCTAAATTGGACATACAGATCAGAAACTGACCTGCCTAGCTGCTGCTGAGCTTGGCGTGCTTCTCAGCACCACGGAAGGTTCCAAGTGTCTGCAGTGCCGTCTCATCAGTTAGACGCCTCCCTTCCTCGACGTTTCGCCCCGTTCTGCCTAAGACGTCTCTGGGGGGTGGGGCAACGGAGCAGGCGTCCCTGCTCCGCTTCAGGCACTGTCGCCACTTCTCTGGAAGGACTTCCACGCCTTGTCCTTTCTCTTCAGCCACAATACGAAACTGCTTCTTTCTGCTTCTTCAGTCACCTGTCTAGTGAGCTGAGTCTGGGCTTTTCCCCTGATGTTGAAGTCCCTGCACAGACGCATGAAGGAAGTCCCTACAAACCCTCTTACACCGACTTCTACTGGGTATAGTCGCGTCTGCCAGCCTTTCTGCTTGCACTGCAGGACCAGATCATCATATTTCAGTTTCTTTCTTTCAAATGCTGCTTGCACATTTTCTTCCCACGGGATGGTTAACTCAATGATCAGTACAGCTTTCTGATCCTCGGACCACAGAACTAGATCCGGTCTAAGAGATGTCTCACAGATGGTGCTCGGGAAGTGGAGTTGTCTTTCCAAGTCTGCTCTCATCTCCCACTTTCCTCTGCACAGAATACTACCTCCTGAGTTAACTGTACCAGTAGCTGCTGAGGATCTTGGTTTCTGACCCTCCCTCACAAACTGGATAGCCTGGAAGGATGATGACGATCTAGAGGATTCCTTTCTTACTTCCTCCAGCTTCACTGCTAGCTGTCTTAACACCTTGTTGTGTCTCCATGTGTAGCGACCTTGTTGCAGAGCAGTCTTGCAGCCTGACAGAATGTGTTTCAAGTCGGCTTGAGCTACCCCGCACAGCTGGCAAGACTCCTCATTCCTATACCACCGGGTGAGGTTACGAGGGGTGGGGAGGACGTCGTACGTTGCTCTCACTAAGAAGCTCAACCTGGCACTCTGTATGTTCCACAGGTCGGTCCATGTGAACCTTCTCTCGACCACACCATCCCAGTTTAGCCAGGCACCTTGTTGGCTCTGACCAACTGCGGTCACCATCCTGCCCTCCTCCTCCATCCTTCTAACCTCATACGACACCAACTGCCTCCTTTCCCTGGGGTTGGCACTCCTCCATCTCTGTGTACACTCTCCCCACCCTAAACCAGTTCTTCCTACTTGCACTGCCCCTACCAGGTCATTGTGCTTCAGTCTGCTCACAGCTTTCTCGATGGTGTCTTTCGCACTCCACTTTCTCCCTGTGTCTACTCCTCTGTTTGCAGCTCTCACTGAAGCATCCTGGGACCCTTCCAGCTCCAGGGAAAGTCGGACCTTGTCGAGCTTAAACTCTTCTGCAATAGATGTGAGTGGAAGGTTTAGCTTATTCCTGCCAAACAGGGCAACCGTGGACAGGCATCTCGGCACTCCTAGCCAACGTCGGAAGTAGGAATTGGCCTTTCTGTCTATTAAGTCGACTGTAGATATAGAGATGTTGTAAGTCTTAAGTGGCCACTTGAGTCTCGGAAACAGCATGAACTGCACACACCAGATTTTCAGTCTCCCTGGTAACTCGCACTTGTCAATCAGTCTCAGGCCGTTACATGCTTGGTCGACTACATCCTGGCCTCTACCTCTGTCACTCAGACTACTTGTATACAGCCGGCCTAAACTCTTTACTGGTTCTTCCTGAATGTTCGTGATTTGTTGGCCGTTTACTGAGAAGATCCTGTTGCTGATCACTCCTTTCCTAAGAGACAGGCTTCTAGACTTTGCTGGTTTAAACTGCATACCTGCCCATCCTGTCAGTTCTTCTAGTCTCTGCAGCAGACGTTTGGTGCACGGTGCAGTACGGAGAATGCTTGTCACATCATCCATGAATGCACGGAGTGCTGGCATCCTCTCCCCCGTTGGTGCCTTGACTCCTCCCACCACCTGTTTGGCACCAACCAGGAGAACTTCAAATCCCATGATGAACAATAATGGTGAAATGGAACACCCCATGGCAATGCCTTTCTCCACCTTCTGCCAGCCTGTGGTATAGTTCCTGATGCTGATGCTTAGCTTAAAGTTAGAGAAGTAGTTGTGGACCATCTGTTTCACTTCCTTTGGTACCCAGAAGAACTCCAATGCATACTGGATGACCTTGTGTGGAATAGACCCATAGGCGTTTGCCAAGTCCAGCCAGACGACATGGAGGTCTTCCTTTCTGCTCCTAGCAAGCTGGATCTGGTTCCAAATCTGCTAAATGTTAAGGATGCAGTGTGTTGTATACATTGAAATGTTTCCGAATGATCAGGATTGTAACTGTAAGCCATTTACAGATGTAAATGCATAAGATGTACAGAAGCACTGAACATTTAATAGGGTTATAAGATCGATGAACTCTAGTTAACATTGATTTTTTATCAAAATATGTAATACACATATAGAGGCCCCGTGCCACACAGTCACATTAGATAAGGTACGAATATTGTACATGAAGGACTATTTTGTGAGAGGCGTGAAGGAGGCAATTTACATCAGGGCCCATCAACCCTTTCTGAACAGTGATTGTGGCAGATTTAGTCTTCCAACCACTCCTGACGTCATCACGCTTCCGACTTCCGGAAAGTCAGAGATTGCATCACACATCTGACGAAGGTTGACGGGATCAACCGAAAATTTATGGTGAATTCTTTCCTTGTGATGGAGCAAGCTTAAACTCTGTAACTAACATTATACCATGTCCATGCCAAATTATAAGAATTTCACCAGTGTGTTGTGTGTTACTAAGTAAGGGCCATGTAAATACCTATACATGTACATGAAATGTTGCTAATGAGCAGGATCGTCATCACTATGTATAAGATTTCGTGGAGGCATTAGATCGCCAAACATTAGTTTCCTTCTACTTCTTCATTTATTGACACACCGCACACAAATTTATCTTTAAGGTACAATTAAATCGTTTGCTGTTGCATAAAGTACAATAAAGTAGTAGTAGACCTATAAAGATACTGAATGAGTTACGTGAAATTGAAATAATTAGTTAAACAATCAATATGTCATACATCATATCAGCTAACTATATAATCATGAAACTAAATTGATATCATACGCATTCTAGTACATATAATTTTTAAACAAAACACACCCTGCTACTCTGGATTTTTTTTTACAAATTTAGCATATATTATCTATTTTCTACTAAAAAGGACACATCACACAGTTCATGAAAGGTATGTATATAATCGATAAAGGATCAAAACATGACCAATTATTATTTTGTTCTTTAGAAAATACAAATATTAGTTTGAATTATCAAATTAATAACTACTTACAAATCCGAACTTTCATACTTGTATATTTCATTCATATGGTACAACTGTAAATATCAATAAATGATATATGCAACAAATAGACAGCTACATGCCCAATTTCAGTAGTCGTTTTGGTATATGTTTTTTCAATGTAATTATATGACTAGCATCTTGTTTTTTTTTCTTTTGTGAATATATGTTGCATTATAAGTTGACTTTTGAGGCATACATTTACTCTTCCTAGCATAGCGGCAGGTGACACTTCCTACACTTTACCAGTCCCCCAAGCTTTGTGGGCGGGTGACTTTGTCCGCAGCGGCAAACCAAACCGATCCGGTGAACTGCACTGGCTCGCCGCCTGGTGACCAGACGGACCCGCGGGAAGGGAGACAGCTGACCGCGTTCGAAACAGTCCAGGAGATGGGCTCTCATCTTGCTCTCGTTGTACCTGACCTGGGTCACATCCGCCCCCATCGCGATGTCTACAGCCCACGCTATGGCAAACAGTCCGCATGTACTTCCGCTTTCCTGCAGCTGCACACGTGGCACTTTGACAGTCAGTACATCGGTGGCCATGTTGGGGACTGGCGCGTAGCACTGCGTCAACTGGCTCTCCAACAATGCATTTTATCCTACCGGGGATACTGTTATAAACACTGACATGTCCACCTATGGAGGACGAGAGTACCCAGTGGAATTGGCCGGTGTGGTGAATCTGTAGACCTTCTCCGGAGACCCGTGTGTATCCGTACGAAGACGCTCCTACTGTCGTATCTTGTAGTCCCACCAATCCCGGATACTGACGGCGGAGTAACATCTGTGCGGCATGGATGTGTTTGTCTGTCAGCACCTCGTCACTAAGGAGTACAGCCTTGTCTTCAGCGGTGAGCTTTAGATCGGAGATCCACGTGTTTCCTGCAGGCTGCTGTTTTCCATTCTGTGTGTCACCTGACACATTTCGCTTCTCAGGTGGAGCTGCTGCAACCTGGATACACCGGGGTGCCTTTTGCACAGTCGGTTTAGTTGTAGCACGATTTACCCTAACAAGGATGTCCTCAATTTGCTTGGTCTGCACCCTTATCTCAGTTAATAGGTGATGCTCTGTTGTTATTTTTTTTCGGTTTTTCTCTTCTTCCTCAAATTCTTGCTCCAGGATTTGGATTTCAGTGTCAATATCAAAGGTATCTACATTAGTACCAGTTGGCTTTTGGATGTTGTGGTTATCATTTCGAATGACAGTGGTACTTTGGTGACTTTCGTCGACAATTATTGGTAATTTCTCATCTTCCCGGGTTATTTTGTCAGACGTCACCTGCTTCCGTGAAGGCAAGATGGAGTTACAGATGTCCAGACCTTCATCAAGTTTCTCCTGAATGATGACTATGTTGGCCTCCAGTCCTTTCAATTTCAGTTCACCTTTACAAGAGTTAAGAACATGTTTAGCATTAGTCAATCACTGTAGGAATCTTAAAATTTCATTTTTGTAATAAACATGATTTAGAATATTTCAAAGTTTTTTCATGATTTTGTACTCATTTTAAATGTAAGAGATGTAAGAAGTTTTAGTTGATGAATTGGATGTATTGTTTTGGTTGGCACTTGAATGGAGGCTTAATATTTTGGGCCTCAAAACCAAAAGATTGGGTTTCATTTGATTGACAGGGCTGTGCAATATTTCCACTTATGGGTTTGAACTTACCTGGTTTATTCTCCTTATCCGGCGTGCTGTGAACCCTAACATGGCCCGGAAGCTCCTCCAGATGTACTCTCCAAGCTCTTGGTCATGGCTGACGTCCACGTCGGCGGAAATGGCGTCAC